CCGGCCGCGGGGCAGCGGCGGCAGGCGGAGGTAGGACCGGCACCGGCACCGGGGCCCGGCGGGAGCTGCGGGGGGCACCGGGAGCTGCCAACCGCCCGGCCGTCGGGGGCGCGGGGAGTGTGTGAGGGGTGCTATAGGGGTGCGCGTGTCCCTTCTATAGGGGTGTGTGTGCTATAGGGGTGTGTGTGTGCTATAGGTGTGTGTATCCCTGCTGTAGGGGTGTGTGTGCTATAGGGGGGTGTGTGTCCCTGCTATAGGTGTGTGTGTCCCTGCTATAGGGGTGTGTGTGCTATAGGTGTCTGTGTGTCCCTGATGTAGGTGTGTGTGTGCTATAGGTGTCTGTGTGTCCCTGCTATAGGTGTGTGTCCCTGCTATAGGTGTGTGTGTGCTGTAGGAGTGTGTGTGCTATAGGTGTGTGTGTGTGCTATAGGTGTGTGTGCTATAGGTGTCTGTGTGCCCCTGCTATAGGTGTGTGTGTGCTATAGGTGTCTGTGTGTCCCTGCTATAGGTGCGTGTCCCTGCTATAGGTGTGTGCCCCTGCCATAGGTGTGTGCACGTCCCCGAGGTCTCTTCACACCACAGGTGTGTGCCCACGAGTGCCCGACACACGCGCATCCCCACCCCAGCCATGTGCCCTGGGTGCCCGGTGCGTGTCCGAGCACACGCGTGTGCCCGCTGATGGCGAGGCTGAGCCCCGCGTGCCGCAGGCGTGTGTGTGCCAGCCACGGCTTTGTGCCCGTGCGGTGCGTCCGTGCCCGACGGGGGTGTGCAGGGATCCGTGCCCCAGCCCTGCTGGGGGTGGGCCCGTGCTATGGGACGGTGTTTGGGGTGCCGAGGTGTGTGCATGCCGCCTGTGGACCTGTGTCCTGGGGGTGATGCACGTCTGCAAACGCCCCTCCCATAGAGCTCTGACAACGACAGGCCTTGCGCTAGGAAACCGTCCCATCTCCTGCTTTTGTGCTCTCCAAGCCAGTCTTCCCCTGCCCTGCCTCTCACCAGGGCTGTCCCCATCACCTCGGTTTGGATTTCTCCTGCTTGTCCCCATATCACTGTCACACCACCCTGCCATCCCTTCCTGTTGGTTTTGGGAGGACGAGGTATGAGGTTTGGCTGGTGAACAAAGGTTAATGCTGGGGATATTTTTTCCTCTTTAGACACTGATTCAGTGTACATTTGCACAGATGCTTCATTTTAAAACCCCAGCAAGTCCTGGTGGATCAGTTGGGATTTTTCACATACTCTAAGATGAAAAGTGCACATAAATGCTGAGAGGCTGGTTTTAATATACATGCTTCTTATGCTGGGAGATGCTGTTTTGAAGAGGTGATTTATATGTGTGCTTGATCCAGTGTGCACAATCCTCTGCCTGGCCCCTCGTGCCACCTGGAGAAAAATAAGTCTCAAAGTTCTTAATGCTTAGAAAATCAATAATTTAAAATTCACTTTAAAAAGAAAACCAGCTCACTTGGAGCAAGAACTTTAAAAGATCCAATCTGCCTTTTGATTCCTCAATGACAGCTTCTGATGAATTTTCCTTTGAAGCCTCAGAGCAGGTCCCAGGATCGTGACAAATCCTGGGCGATGGGTGCTGGGCAAGAGACTTTCCTGTCTCCCTGTCTCAGTTTCCCCATCACGCTGTGCTGGCCAGGGGCTTTGGGACAATATACACAATGGAAAGGTATAGAGTCTGGGGTAAGAAAGCTTATCTAAATAAACTGAGCAGTTAATTTTGCTTTTAAGAGGAAGCTGAAATTCTCACATAACATCAAATAGTTCTAGTTACTTGTGGCTTTCAGACCACTGCCAGGCTTTGCTTCTAAAGCTTTTTTTATTGCTTTTAAAATAGCCAAAGTTAGCAACAATGGGTTGTGTAAACTTAGATGCAAAAAGTCTGAGAAAATGTCCAGTTGTGTTATTTATTTTCCTGACTTGTGCCCTTGTTTTCACTGCATTTGTATCAATTGCAGCTACGGGAAAAAAAAAAAAAAAGTTTGGAAATTTAATTTGAAACATTTGTACATTAAATTGTCTTATTATCTGCAGGCTCCAGATAGGAAAACATCTGATGCTAGATAGCACGTAGCTTGGCAGATCTGGTTTCTGGCTGGGCTGTGCTCAGGACAGCACTTGGGTGTGTGGTAATGCCCGAGTCTCCCTGATCCTGGAGGAGCTGGGTAAGATGTGCGGCACAGAGCTCACCCCGTGTTGGAAGTGAAGGGCATGGCAGAGTGCTGGTGGTGCCAAGGACAAAGGACAGTGAAGTCCCTGTAGTGATTTGTGTGAGAAGTCACAGATCTGTTGTGATAGGAAGAAAAATTGGGTAGAAATTTGAGAAAAGCTGGGAATGGAAGTGGAGAGCAAGACCAGAGGACTGAGGCATTATCTTTCTGGATTTTTTTTTTTTCCCTATCCTGCTCTCCTCTCCCTTGCAGTGGCACATGGCCTCTGACTTTTCCCCTCAGCCGCCCAAGGGCTCACATTTAGCGCAGGCTTTGGTCTGTCTTTGTGCCAATACAGTGCCTGGATGAGCTCCTTCACGGCGTGTGCAGCCAGTTGGGATGCTGGATGCTGAGCGCAGCCTGGCTGAAGTGAGGGTCTCACATTGTGGTAGGGCTCGGGGGTCAGCTGGGACCCCCACATGTTCCCAGAGCACCCCCACAGTTTCCCTCTGATTGAAATAAGGGGAAGAAAACCCTCTTCCTGAGAGAAATTCCTGCTGTTCAGCCTCAACAGGGCAATGCAAGGAGTTGGGGGGAGGAGGGGGGATTACTCAGGTGCTGTCACCCCTGCCCGCACCACTGGGCTCTGTGTGGATGGGAGGGTGTGTAAAACCCGTGAGATCATGGCTCTGAGCCGCTGCCCGCAGCGCGGATGTGGCGAGCAGTTCCGAGGCACCCGGCGGGTCCCCGGTGTGATTAACAGCCCCGTGAGTCACCGCAGCGTACAGAGCCCCGCTTTCTTCCCGGCTGTCCCCCGAACAATCCCCACTTGTTACGGCAGATAACGCCCGCCAGACAAAGGCCCGGCGGCTGCTGGGAGCGGGCACGTCGCCTTCGCCCCCCCCGGTTCCCATCCCGATGGAAGGCGAAGACCAAGCATCTCGTTTCCTTTCTCTTCTCTCCTTAGACATGAAAGCACAAACCATCTGCGTGACCAGACTGGTTTGTCAGCTGCTCTGGTATTCGCAGGGGAAGGTTTGGCCAAACCCAGTGTTTTCCCCTATTTTCCCCAAGCGCTTTGGTCGCATTTGGGCCGTTTCGGTGCTGCCGGAGCTGTGGCTGAGTGGTGCAGTCTGGTGCTACCCAGGGCGTGGGGTGCCTGGGGTGCCAGGGCAAAGCTGCGAGCTGGTTTCAAACGCAGGAGTGAATGGTAGTAATTTCTGATGAGATATTCCTGTGTTTAACACACAAGGAAGCAGAGTGATCTGCCAGCCCCGCAGGCAGGTTAACACCAAGCCCAGTGCATTTCATGGTGGTTTTTTCCTTTTGAGTGATGCAATATTTATTGTTCCTGTCCCGTGGCATCCCTTCTGTACAGACAGATGGGAAGGCAGGGAGCTAGCTCTGGTTCAGCATCCTGAAGATCTGGGTTACTGAAACCAGGAGGGGTTAGTTAGTCCTGCTTCAGTCCTGGCCTGCTGCCCCTCAGCTCAAGACTGAGCGTGAAGAGTAAAGGAGCCTAAAAGATGCTGGGCATGGTATTTCCCCAGCTCCACATCTTCAGTGGTAAGTAGATAATTTCCAGCTAAAGTAGATTTTCAAGAGGGGTAGGTGGGAGAGGAGATTCCTTCAGGACCTGATATGGGGAGCATCACAGCAGGGGAGCATCACAGCAACCAGACAGGGTTTGGGTTTTTAACCAACCTCTGTTTTTAACATACAGAATTATCTGGTGTGTTCGATGTCTTTTCAGCGGAAGCACAACCAAGCTCTGTACTTGCTGATCTCGCTTCTTGCGTGTCTTTGTGTGTCTGTATATATAATATTTATGTAGATACTTATACACACACTTAAACAAAAGCCACACAGGGACTGTGCATAAGGGTTTGTGACTGCAGGCAGGAATGCAGCTTGGAAGAGAGAAAAGAAATTAATGTTTTTATACTCCTTGGTGCGTTCTGCAGGGAGTTTACAGGCAGGCAGTGACCTGATGCTGCTCCTTCTGCGGTCGTGCCAAAATGAGCTCGTCCCAGAGGTCAGTTCTCCTTCTGTCTGTGCTGCAGGGGGAAACTGAGGCTGAAAAGCAGGAACTGCACCTTCCCCTGTGTCTGTCTCGGTGGTGAAATGATGCAGGATGGAGCCTGGGGCTGCTGGGCACCAGGGCCAAGGACCCACCTGGGCTGGCTTGCTGGGCTGCTGTTGTCTCATGATTAAAAACAAAAGACCTTGCAGGTGCAGCTTGTGGCTGGCATTCTCTGTAACTGTGTCACCAAACACCTGCCCACCCTTCAGCAAGACGCGATCGCTTCCCTCCGCTGCCGGGGGCTGGAGCGGAGAGATGGGGTTTGTATCCAGGCCGAGCAGAAGGGACCACGGTCGACGGGAGCCCAGCGTAAGGCTTCTCTGATCCTTAACTGGTGGAAAGGTGCCAGAAGCTGAGTGTCTGGATGGGAGGGCAGGCAGGACCGGAGCCTGCTGTCTCTGCACTCTTGTTATCCCAGTTTCCAGGGAGGGAGGTCTAATTGTATTTGCTCTTGGCTGTCTTCCACCTGGGATGCCTGTGGTCAAGGGCAAGGTGTTTCCTTGGCTTTAGCTCTCAACAGAGATGATTTCTAGGGTTGTGACCAGCTCCCCATCAGAGCCCTGAGACGGGAAGGGCCCCTCTGTCTTCCCCAAACTCTCTTCCAACTGTCCCTGCTGCAACTCTGAGGGCTTTTCTGCCCCAGCGCTGACTCCTGGGCAGCCAGACCTTTCCTCTTCTCCCTCCCTCCTGTGGAGGGGGAGCCTGGACATATTTCATATTAATGCTCAGCTGTTGGTTTCCTGCTGTTTTTCTTTTCCCATTGTATGGAAAAGAGCATTTCCCCATCTGGGGCAGGAGGGAGGGGGTTTTCCCAGCACAGCCAGGCTTTGCATTGCAGATACTGGAGAGGTTTAATGGGTTCATGCCAGCTTCCACCCAGCTGTCCCAGAGCCTGGCTGGTCTCTGGAGGTGTGCAGGGCACGGGCAGTGCTGGAGGGGGTCCTGAGTGCTGGTTTGGGCACAGGATGCTGTGGCATGTGACTCTTGGGTTCCCCTGTCACCCTGAAAAGTCTCTGGTCTGGGGAAATTTGTATGCTCTGCTGTCTGATAAATAGCATGCACAGTGGAGGATCAGCACATCTCTCTCCTGGAGCTCTGTGTTCCAGGAGTATCATCACCTGGAGCTCACAGTAACCGTGTCTAGAAAATGTAATAAAATTTATCTTTGTGGTTTTGCAGCCTGAGAGCTGGGGCCTGCATGTGAGAACCCCAACATGACATGAGCCAGAAACTACAGGGAAACTGCCGCTTTGGTTGGACTTGCAAAGCTCCAGGAGATCTGGGCAGGAATAATGAAGCCAGTGGCCTGTGTACCTTTTGGTGCCGTTCAAGAGCAGCTGCTGTGATAGTCATTGCTTTTTTGCCACGCACCCTGACTTGTCCAGATGGGGTTTCAAGTCTTTGTGAGATCATGCTGGGGGAAAAACATTTTCATGCTTTAAGAATGGGATTGCATTAGGTTACAGGAGAGGAAACAACTTCAAGTTGTTATATTTTAGATGCTAAGTGAAAGCAAAAGTGTGGTAGAAAAGGTTTAGGCTGTGCTGTGCCTTTGAGGCCCAGGACTTTCTGTCTGGGTGCTTTGTAGCTCACATTTATCTGCAGTGATGTAACCGCTGGGGATTATCACCCTGCATCCATATATGTGTAGCTGGCAATTTTCTAATTCTGGAGGAGAACATTATAAAAACACAACAACCGAGGAAGAGGGCCAGACACCTTCTCCTCTCCAGACTACTTTCTCAGGGCTACCAACCCTCCCTGCTGCCCTGTCCCTGGGAGGCTCCCTCATCCCTGTGTCCTCCCCTGCATCAGCATCCTGTCGCTGCTGTATTTTGCCTCCTGGTACCCATGTAAAGGGAGTTATTCCTGTATGGCTGGAGAGTTGGCATGTCCAGGCTATATGGTCCATCCCCGGGCAGAGGTGTTGGTGTCTCAGGGCAAACAAACCGCTGCTTTCGCCTGCCAGAGTGATGCTTGCTCATGCCTGATTTATCCTGACTCACTGGGACTGGGTGTGCGGTGTCTGGGTGACTCTGGCCACACTTGGGCTTTTACTGCTGCAGCCTGATGCTGCTACAAGATGCTGCTACCTCTGGCCAGGGCAGGCAGGCTGGTAAAGCTGTTCGGAAGGAAACATGGCCAAATTTTTTGGCTGGGGTTGAATGAAGAGCATGTCCTGGCAGGAAGCTGTGCTGGTTCTCACTGTGCTGCAGCCGGAGTGGGATCCTCCAGGTAGAAGGGGTGTAAAGGAGGAGAACAACTGCAGCCCTGGAGGAGATGAGGTCTGGGAAGGAGGTAGGGAGAGCTTCCAAAGGTGGTGAGCAGCAGGCAGAGAGCACATGAAAGGTGCCTGCCGTGCCCGCAGGGGGGTGGTGGGTGCGGAGGATGACGCGTTTGGGGATGACGCGAAGATGACTGTTAAGGGCAAGCAGAGGGTTTGGGCAGGAGGAGGAGAGGGAGAGGCCCTGGTGCACCCTGGGGCTGCCATTTCCAGAAAGCGTTCCCACTCCCCACCAGACACCAGCTGCCCACGCCCAGGAGAGATGCTGCTGCCTCTGTGGGGGCACGGTGGGGGATTGAATCACCCGCTGGAGGTGGATGGTCAGAAGTGACATTGAGCACAGGTTAACACCCTTCTCCCTGCCCTCTCGCCAGATGAGCAGGGGGGGAAGAGTAACCCCCAGATGAGCAGGGGGGAAGAGTAACCCCCAGATGAGCAGGGGGGAAGAGTAACCCAGTAACCCCCAGATGAGCAGGGGGGAAGAGGCGTTACAAGCAGGAGGCTCCACAGCAGGCAGCAGCAGTGCTGGCCCGGGGCAGCCCGCAGCATTCCTGCTGCTCAGCCCACCTCTCCTTTGGGATGCGGGAGAGGAAGCAGCCACTTTCACTTTTTATTCCTCATTACTTTACCTCCAATTCTATTACACTAACAGGATGCTGGGCAGCTTGTTTGTCTGCTGCAGACATCCCCGGCGGTGGGGAAGGCGGGTGTGGAGCATTCCTGCGACCGCGGCTATTAACTTCTCCGAAAGCTGGGCTCATGGGCTGGGCAGAGGGAAACCGTTTATTTTCTTTAATGTGCAGTTTATGCGACAATCTCCGTCCATGTAAATGGCCGATAAGAAGAAGAATGGTTTGGCAGAGCAGATTGCCCCCGGAGTGTCTCCACTTTGCTGCAGCACATCCTGCGTGGGGATGGGGAGAGGCTGCAGTCTGACCTCGTCTCACCCCACCCTACTGGTGTCCACAGCACTTCAGCCTTTATTTTAATTATTGCCTTGATCCATCCGAGGTGATTAGAGTGGGTTTGGTAGCCTCTGGTGGTCTGTTGATAGCAATGTTTCATCCTATGCCTCCATCAGGTCGTGGCCAAAAACTCAAGAGCCGTCAAAAATGATGGGCTTAGTCGAGGTTTTCTCCAGTCCCATAATGCGAACATGTAGACTAGCTCAGCTTGGCACCTTCGGGAGGTGTGGCTGCTTGGGCTGCAGAGGTCTCAGGAAAAAAATAACTGGGAATTTCTGCACAGCCCTGGGTTTGCTGCCCTGTGTGCTATCACATCTCCCTTTTCCACCACCTACCCCAGGCCAATGTGTGCAAATGCTGCCTGTGCTCTGAGCTGCGCCTCTCCTGTGTCTCTTCTTGCAGCTGTTCCTGGAGAAATACGGCTACATCAGCGAGCTGGGGGCTGGCACGCACAGCCACGAGGAGTTCACGGAGGCAGTGAGGTATGAGCCTTTTATTTAAAAACCACAGCAGAAATGCAGCAACTCTGGCTAAGTGGGAGCTGTTGGTGCTCAGGGGGTCTTTTTGCAGCCGGGAGCTCTCTCTCACATGGTCCGATGATAAAGCACAACTGGTCCTTTTTGGAAACACCAGTCCATGCCCAGCTCCCGCAGCTGGATGCTGGCTGCTGGCAGTCCGGCGCCTCGCTGTGCTGCTTTATTTGCCTTTTATGGCCTGGTGCTCCCCTTACAATAATATCTGCGGCGAGGCCGAGGTTTGGGACGGCTGGGAGATGTCAGGGGGCCAAGCTGACAGCCTCCACTCAGACTTCTAATGAGATCACATTGGCTCTGGGAGCATCCCTGGCCTGACCCTGTGCAAAGTCAAGTGCAGAGTCAAACATCTGGGGATAAAAACTGGGAAAGGCATTTTTCAGGCTCCCCTCTGTACTTTTGCCCTGCTAGGAGATGGCTTGCTGCTCAGATGTGGTTGCAGAGGCAAATCCTTCTTGTTTTATCACCTGGATGCATTCCTGACAGCAAGGCACGGGGCTCTCTGGGTGAAGGCTCAGTTCAAACACCACACGCAAACATAACCAGAGCCCCCGGGGGGGG